GTTGTAATTGCTGTTCAGTTTGTTGTTTTTGTTACTGCAATTGTTGTTCTTGTTGTAGTTTTTGTTGCTGCAACTGTTGTTCTTGTAGCTTTTGTAATGCCAACATTTGAACCATGATAGCTTTTAATTCTTCCAATTGGCTGTACTTTGCTGAATATTTTGCAGATTAATTTTTTCCTCATGTAAGTTGAAGGAATCCTCATCACCACTTTTGTGATGTCAACAAACACTTGTCACTTTTGTAATACTCGTTGTAGTAGAGACTTTATAATCACAGATACAACTATAGTAATACCATTGAACAATACTGGTGTCTGACGCATTTGAATAACACTCGCACTAATATTACTTACTCGATAATACTCGAATAGTAATCCATATAGTGATCCGAATAGAGAAATAGTATCTTACTTATTATAAAACGCAGGTTGTGTGTGTGTGTCTGTAATGTTTATATGTTGGATCGAATTTCCTACATTTTTTTAGCCGATTTCAACAAAACTTCACAGGACTACATAAAATTACCTTGTGGTGGTTCTAACGGGGCCGAAAATGGGAAAAATACAGTTGTTTTTAATAAAATCAATTTGAAAACACGATTAAGACACATCGTGAGAATGAAAGGGGAGAACTCACCCACGAAAATGTAAAACAAAAGAGCATAGCATGATGAAAAAAGATGCCAAACTTGACAAAAACAAAATTTTATCGTCTAATGTTCATATTATTATTAAAGAGGAAAGATCAAAGTATTTTGGGGGTATTTTTTTACATTTTTTTATTGTTCCTAGCACGTCTGAAATTTTCATTAAAAAATATTGTTTTTTTTTTGTTTTTTTTTTGTTTTTTTTGTCAAAAAAAAGGGCAGATAATCATTTTCAATCATTTTTTTCGATTTGATAAAAAAGATTAAAATCTTACTTTGATATTCTTTTAAAAGTCAATTATCATTTTTTCAAAACTGATTTTAATAAAAACAGATATACTGTTTATTTAAAATATTTTGAACCAAGCTTAACTTAGCTTCTTCTGCCTGAAAAAATGTAATTTGAAAATAAAAAACAAAAGCAGGTCATAACCTTTCGCGTCCTTGACGATTGACGAAAAGGCACATTCATGACGTTTAGATAAGTTCGGGGAGGAGAATTCTTTCTACAGATGGAAGGAAGTGAAATTATTTAAGTGAACAAATTATTTGCCTTGTTACTTTTAAGGAAAACTTTCAATGCTCTAATTTTTTATTTTTTATTTTATTTTTTTTTTTTTACTTAGCTTTCATTTTTACATTTACGATGCTTTATGGGAAATATAAAGAAATTAAAAATAAGACTGTTAATAGTGAGATTAAATTTCATAAGAAAAAAGGTATCTAATTAATTTAGGTACCTTTCTTATATGAAATTTTATCAAAGTGTATTATATAAAATACTATAATTTTATGTACATTTATTACATTTTACTGTGTTATTTGTATTTCCATTCATTTTATTATTAATTTTGATATTTCATTTATGGAAAAATGTCATAACTGAGATTAATATAAAAATAAGATCATATAAATTAAAAGTTTAGCAGTAGTTAAATTTCATAAGATGATACTGTTACTTGTAGGTACCCTTCTCAGTTGAAATTGAAAACTCAAATTAACTTCTCCATACGTGTTTCAAGAAAAGTAAAGGGCTTAACAGCGAAGAACAATGCTGAACTCAAATAATGCAACTAAATTGTATTCTGGTTGGTCTTTCGTACTTGATAATTACTGTCCGACTATAAACACAAAAATTACATTTCTTAATTACCATGGCTAATCTGATTGGTCCAAATTATACAATTTTCAAAGCGCTAGACAATGACAATCTCACACAGACATTTTGAAAGGTTGATGTTGCTTTTAACTAATGTTAAAATATTTTTTAAAATTCAATTTAAACATTTTTTAAAATCTTTTTAAAATTAAAGAAATAAGAAATAATTGTATTAAAAATTCAATTTTCATTGAAAAAATTTTTTGCTTTCAGAAAATATTGTCCATATTCATAAAAACAAATTAAAACAAATAAAAGCATTTGAAACTAAATAATATATTTGTTTTATTGAGTTTTGTATGTTACAATTCACAGCTGATTTTCAGGTACGTTGGCCAAAAAAAAAAAAAAAAAAAAAAAAAACATGATTTGCATTCTTCAAAGCCTTGTGCTTTTAACTATTGTAATCACTAAAACCGATGGTCTCAAATTTCTAGAGTTTTTCATAAAATTAGTTATGGGGGTGTTAATAAATATAAAAAAAAATATTTCTGCCATGACTTTAATAAACAAAAAAAATATTTATAATAATTTCGATCATCTGTGAATAGTTTCTGAAAGTTTCATTAACATCTGACAATTATTTTTATTTTTGCAAGATTTTCCAAATTAATGTGTGTAAATACAAAAAAATGCGCTAAAAATTATCTATGTTATTTACTACCCCTTGTTGCGACAAAGAGAAACAAGGTTTTTTAAATCAAAATTTAGAATATTCTAAAAAGATGGAAAAATTTTTAAATTTTTTTAATTAAAAAAAAATTTAGTCTATCCTCTTCATAAAAAAATATAAGCATTTTGACGATAAAATTTTGTTTTCATAAACTTTGGCGTCTTTTTCATCAAACTATGCTCTATGTTTTAGCGATTCCGTGGAGTGACTTAGGTTAAAAAACCCAGATTATTTATGTGTGTGTGTGTGTGTGTGTGTTCCTTTATATATGGGATCGGTTTCTTACATTTTTCAGCCGATAAAACAAACATCCACTTTTTTTTTTTTCGGCAGGTAGTATTTCTTATTGTCTTGCACACTTTTTTCTTATTTACATTCAGAATGCTTTAAAATTCGATTTACAAGACAATTGTTTATAATAAAATTCTATTCACCAATCGATAGACTCATAACGATTGTAAACAATGTTTTTGTTTGAATTTGGGTTTGACCAATTCGTAAAAAAAAAAAAAAAAACTAATTAAGACATGCGTGTCCGTCAACCTTAAACAATAATCTTTGTCAATTTTATTTTTCAGTCTTTATGATGGTCGATACTTGATCTATCTCTTACTGTTACATTCCCGGGCAACGCCGGGCTCTACTGCTAGTAGTGAATAACAATCCGTATAGTAACAAAAGATCGAGTAGAAAGAGTGATCAATTAAATGCCATGCTAATTTTCATATATACATTTCCTTTACTGATATACTTATTCAAAATGGAATTGCCTGTGTTTGTTCTCTGGCGATCTGTGTTCAAACTCCAGTGTCGGCAATGACACTTTATTCCTATGTAACAATTTTTCTATAGACTTTTCCACGTATTTTCTACATAGAAGTTTTAGAAGCTAATGTTAAAAAAAATCAAGTTTTCTTATTTATTTGGGAAATTATTGGCAGTAATGATTTTAGACAAATGATACAGCTCAGGCCAATAGCATTGTCATCAACTGAGGTCAAAAGGACAAATTTAGTCTTCTGTTTAGTCCTTAATTCCAGTGAAAGTCCACCTCCAATAGAATTGGAAATGCAAAGTATTGAATAGGTACTTATTTTTTGTTCTGCCTCAATGTGTTACACATTTTCAGATTAGAAAGGTCATTGTAGTGAAAGAGATAATCAAAATAAATCTATTGCAGTTGCTACTATAAGTTGACAGTCTTTTCTTCTCTACAACAATCCATCCTGTAGAAAATTTATCCTTTCAGAACTTTGACCAATTTGTCCAAAAGTTTTGGTGAAAACCAGCTTCAAACTACTATTTCTCTATGCAATTTCACTTTGTTCCCAATTATATCAACAATGTTTCTTTTTAACAGAATCAAAATGATCTACTTTTTCTTCTTAACTCATTTATTTTCTATCATTCAGTTCCTTACTTTCCATAATTCATATTAAACTGTTTACTTCCTTTAATATTATAATCTAGTGTTTGACAATGAGTGTAGATTTCTCATTGGGACATGGCAATTTATGGCAAATTTATGATTGGGGGAAAATGAAGAACTTGGAATACTGATAAAATTTCTTTAGGCTATGTTATCATTTCCAGATGAAATAAGACTCCCTATTTAAGAAATTAATGTTGCAGTTTCCTTGTGATATGCTCCCATTTCCTTGACCAGCTGTGTATCTCGCTTTACACATTAACTGAAAATGTTCCTTCTAGACGAAACTCAAGAAAATGATTGCTCAGCTGATAACAGAAAACACAAAACTGAGCTGACTAATTACAGTTTTGATATGTTTTCATTGAAGCTGTTTGATATCCAAAAATTTTTTTTTTTTTTTACTAATGTTCATCCAATACAAGGCCCGAGAGCCATTCAAGGCAGAGGGTTATTATAAGAGGTTGGTGTAAGTGTAGACAACAAAGGGAAGAAGCTATCTGAATGAATCATTCCAATGTATATGGCATGGCAAGTCCTAGCTGTGAAAGTCTGGACTGGTGGAATCAAGAAATGTAGTTCACCCAAACATCTGCCATGAAAAAAGAAATAAGAGTTTTTGTCTGTGAGAAAGGAGTTGCAGTGTTGGAAATCAATTCATCACCCACAAGGCTGCTCACTTTTGAACTCTGTTGAGCCTGGAATAGGGAGGATTCGGCAGTACTCCATTTTTAGCCTGATCTGGCTCTAGTAAAGACAGAGTATAGAAGGAGTCATCATATACTTCTGGAACAGTATAGGGAGATGACCATTTTTCCAGCCTCTTGATGTACTATTAGCTCATTTTCTTGACTTATTTCTTTTTGTATCAGCTGGAATAAACATTTGTTTTTGTTTTAATGTTTTCTTATTATTTCCTGCTAGTCAACATCATCGGGAATTATAACTTATACCTGATTGTATATATGGAATGAAAATGCAAATACAAACATAGGTGTAGGTTATATTGTTTTTGTTTTTTCTGTAATCCAACATAAACAAATTTTTTAGATATTTTGATTTCTCATGGTGATTGGGTTTTTTTTTCTTTCAGAAAAAGGCAAAGGCAAATTTAAAACTGTTTGCTGCATTCCGTATTTTGTCATCATTCATTTTATCCTGATCTGCTTTTGTACATCTTTGTATCTTCTTGTGAAAAACGGCACTACAGACACTTCCATCAATGTTGCTATGATCACTCTGTCTAGTATTGTGGTACTTTCTTTCATCATGAATGTGCACACGTGGGGGCGTGCCCTGATCTCGCTGACAATTTCTCAAAAGAAACGGGTTCAAAGAGCAGCTGATCAACTTGACCATCTCAAAATGGATGGCTTCATGCAAAAATTGAAATATGAAGTTGACCTTCTCAGCAAAATGGTTTTATGCCTTGACTCCTTCACTGGCACCCAAACTCGTCTTGTAGTCATTGTTGATGGATTAGATAGTTGTGAACAAGGCAAAGTTCTCAATGTGCTGGACACTGTCAAGACTCTCTTTTCTGATGACCATTCACCCTTTATCACCATCCTGGCTGTTGACCCCCATATCATCATCAAAGGGATTGAGCAAAACCTACGAGTGTCTGTTCTGGACTCTAATGTTAATGGTTATGACTATCTGCGCAATATTGTACACTTGCCATTTTTTTTGCAAAGCCAGGGACTCCGGGTCCAGAAAAGAGATTCTGTGGTCTTTAGCTCACTTAGCACAGTTGATTATGGAGAGTCTCCAGGGAAGTTTAAGGTAAATGTTTCTCCTTTACACCCTCAACTATAACATTTCACATTCATATATAAGTTAGCAAAAATTAATTTGGAACAATGTTATAAAATGTTTTGGCTAATACACACACATTGCAGTTATAAAAGGCAATGCTATTTATTTCCTATCAACATCATAACAATAATAGACATCAAAAATATAAAAATAAAGTTACTGTTATTATTCTGATATTTAACCTGGTAAAACAAAGGCAACAAGGATTAATATTTTGTAATTTAAATGTTTCTCTGTTTAAAGCTGTTAATTTTTATAATCATTAAAATGATGTACTTACAACTGAATTTGTACAATTGATTTTTATTTAATCTATGAAAAATATGATGAATGTAGCATTTCATAGACTGAAAGTCAAACAACTAAATTTTCATTAAACTTTCACTTGTACACAACATTAAATGAAACCTCATAATCAAAATAAAAAAAATTATGTGTATGTAGATAAATCTGCCTTTTTTTGAGTTAGGGGTATTTATTCAAACTTCTATTTGTGCTCCTATAGATTGTACTATTCCATAAAATACTTGCTTTTATAGAAATTGTTCTCAATTGCAATCTTTATTCTATAAAATGTTTCTATATTTTGCAGCATACAGATTCTGTGATATCAAACCATACTTCAGAAAATAAAATGAAAAAAATTAAACAGTGGCGGACAGCCAGCCTTCAGTTATCCAACACCACAACATCAACCTTTGACCTTTCCCACACACTCGTCAAAAATGATTACTTCAGTGACATCAATCCCCGCAGTATGAGACGATTGCTAAATATTGTTGCTGTCACTGGTAAGCATTCAGAGTTTCCCCTGGAATAGATATTTTAATAGAACAGCATATTTTCTCCTATGAAATGTAAATACAAAATGAGAGTGACAGGAATTGTTTTTCATTATTTACTACTTTTCTTTTTTAACAAAATTTTTTGTTTTTTCAAGCTTTACAAAATAAGCATTAAATGAAAACTGTAACTTTTCATTGAAAATGCTTTTTTATAGATTTTTATAGTTTCACAATCAACCACCAATTCACATTTTCATTTCAAACAATGATTTTTTTTCTGTTACAGGAATTAGAATTATTATTTTACAGATATGGAAATTTAAATGTTATGCTTGACCAAGAATAATTTTGGAAAAAGTTTTATCTCCAGAGGAGTTTTTTAATATTCAATTAATCTTCCTAGTAAAAGATATTAAAATGCATGTAACTTGTTTGTCTTTAAGTTTTACTTATTACTGCATTTCTTACTAAGTTATTAAGTAGGCTTTTATTTGATTTATGAAAACTTTTTTTCTTTATATGAAATAGTGAAACTTTCCCCCTTAATATTACACATTATCTTTTTTTATTGACCCCTTTTTTTATCTATTTCAGTTATAATGAAGAAGAAATGGCTATCTAATAAGTAAACAACCAATTATTTACAAAATACTTTCACTTACTTTTTATTTTTTTAAGGTCGACTGTTGAGAGCTTACAGTATTGATTTTAGTTGGTACCGACTTGCTGCTTGGATCAATTTAGTTGAACAATGGGCTTATCATATATCTTGGGTAATTTTAGAATTTGAAGATACAGAAAATATGGATGATTCAACAACTTTGATATCTATATATAGAAAGTAAGTTTTCCTTTTTCATTTATAATATACAAATAAACCTTGCTATCTATATGTAAAAGTATAAAAGTTATAGTGTACAAAAGTTTTGGGCCAACTACATAAAAGGATTATACACCTTTATTAAGAAGTTAAGATTGTTTAGCAGTATGCTTTTATCAGTAGTGTCTATGGACCTTGAGGATTGCAAAATAAGTTATATTTTTATAGGTACCATATATCAGAAATTACATCACTTTTAATAACTTGAAGCTAAAAAACTTTATTCAAAACTTTTGGGTCTAAGATGATAAAATCCTGATAATATGAAAATTTATAAGTAGGAATTGCTCCATCTTACATGAGTGTAAGGTACCTATCAGAGCCCCCATATCTATATCTTTTTTCAACGAAAGAAAAGGTATGATATCAAAAGAATAAAGAGGCTGATCCAGGAGAGGCAAATTTCCTGATACAAAAAAACAACATGGCTATACTTGAGAAGAAAGGACAACATATACTGGCACATGCAGTTCAGTTCAGAAGCAGAAATGAACTGAATGACGTAGAAATGGAAGATCAAGAACAAGAGACAAAATGTTACAAAAGTGAAACAGAGCAGAAAATGGAAGAAAGTGAGAATGAAAAGACAGACGTGTAAGAAAAAGAAAATGAAGAGACCAAGATCACCATTAAAGAGAAAATCATAAAGACAAGAGGAAGGACAACACAATACAAAAAATATCACTTTTAGTAGTATAGTACAAAAAAAAGATGCTGACAATTAAAAAGTATTCACCTGTTACTATCAAACTACTAACTGCCAAACTTTTAAGAAGAATTGTTAGCGCTCTTTGTGTCACCACAAATGAACATTCTTCAGTCTCTTAAAGTCTGTCATGTCTTGCCAACAGTAAAACTTTAAGGAGGATTACAAAAAGCAAAATTTGGTAAAAATTGTTGCAATAATTTCTCTGAAAACTATTTGAAAAAGCCCTATTTACTAAGATGCTCAAATCTGTACATAAAAAAGTGAAATAATCTTGTACAATTATTTAAAACAATGGCCTATCTGTACCAACAGATAATTAAACAGCTTGAGAGACAGGAGTGTGGGAAGAGAATTCATTATAAAATCTTCAAACCTTTCCTTATAAAAATAAGACATAAGCTTTAATTTTTATGAATTTTATTTTACTATTTTCTACAAGTATTCTATGATTATTTTGAATATATTTTTATTAACATTATATTGTATTGTACTGAAAAGTAACTAAAAACTTTTTTTTTTTCTTGCAACAGAATTGTCCATAAGATTCCTACATCTCGTGATATTGAGCCATTATTGGAGATTGATAAAGATGTTAGAAAAATGGAAGTGTTTCTAGCCAGTACAAACAGAAATAGTCCATTATTGAATGTTGGAGATTTGAGAAAATTCTTGCCTTGTACAATAAATTTGGATCCTTACCTAAGAAAACTTATACGAGGTAAAACTAAGACCAATTTTTTTCATTTTTGGTAAAGAATGGAAAAATAAAAACAATTATTTTTTTTTTTTCCCTATAGTCTTCATTATCTCTCCAGGTTTTTCTTTACTGACACACACAAAAGCAACCATCAGTTACAAGTCACTTTTAACTTCCAAAAATCTATAAAGTGAATTTTGTATTATCTTTTCTATGCATGCAAATTTCAATTTGAATTATCTAGATCAAGCCTTGCCAATTATTATTTTTAATTTTTGATGAATATTCCTATACTCATAATTTCAGTTTCAACTTTCAGATCAGCATTTAACAAGAGAAATACTTGTTAAAATGCATTATAATGTATTTCAGTTGTTCCCTTATTTTTTACATGTTAAATAACATTGATAATTTTATATCAGTTATTTCATGCTAAGGCATCAACTGTTTTAGTTTCCTAATAAATTTGTGAAAAATGAAAATGTGTTATCAACACTATCTTTTTATGATCCTGATCATAAGATCCAACTATAATACTATGTAATACTGCTGGGATCACCTTAGATATGGCATCAATGACTAACAATATTAGGTATATGCGAATATATATATATATATATATATATATATACACACACGAAAAAAAAAAAACAGCTATATTGGTGTGACCAACATGCAACTTGCCAGAAGTGCTAACAGCCTAGCCAAGAAAACTGCCGAACAAGAAAGACCAACAGGTAAACGCCTACCTACTCCGTAAAGTACTCAACACCCATATTATCTAGACAGAGCAAAAAACGCTTCACAACTCCCAACACTTAACAAAGGACAGCCTGAATCATTACTTGAGTTTCACACTCTTGCTAGAACACTTTCAAGTTGACTGAGGATCACTCATATCTTAGCCACTGAATCATCACTTTTGAATGAGCAGTGTATCTTTGGGAACTTATATCAGTGTTCCTACAGTGAGCAATTTATGTTATTTTACCCATTGTTGAGACCTTTTACTCTCTACTCTCCAGCTTGGATAGAGTTGAGTCTACCCATCACCTCTAGATCAGGCAAAATGAGGTACTCAACTGACAATACCATCAACTCCTGTTATTAGAAATTATTTATGAACATATAGATATTACATCATGGAATAATTCATAGGAAAATTATATTAAGTCACCTGATCAAAGTAATAACAGACCAGGCAGCTGTGCAACTGAGGTCTCCAAATAGGGACAGACATGTAGCGGTGTTGCCTTTTACCTGATCCACTGTATAATGTAATCTAGGAAACTTTTTGTTAATGATTTTCAACTCCAAAACAAATGTTTGTTGACACCCAAAAACTAAATGCAAATCATTTAAACTCGATTTTTCATTGAAAATATTTAGAGATTATCTTTGTTTTATTTCTTTTCAGATCAAAGGGAAATATTAGTTTTATTAAAATTTAATTTCTCCTGTTTTCCTAACTTGACACTGTTTTAAGAAAAGGCTTTCATCTTCATTACTCATTCTTAAAAGGTCATTTATTTAATATTAACAAGCATAACATCACTGGTCAAGCAAGAACCAATAGTCTCAATATGTTCCAGCCATATACTACTGTTACTAGTGCACTTTACTAGTGGCATTACTCTCCATGTTGGATGGTTTGGGGTTAAATGTTTGAACCTCTGTAATGCCAACTTGTTGGACAGTGAGATCTTGTCAGCAGTCATATACTAGTAAACATGTATTTATAATTGGTACCAGCAAAGAAAGATATTTATCTATTTATTCAATAATCGCAACTTTTTTCCTTCTATCTGTAAGTTAGTTTTCTCTACACTGATTCATTAGTGCATAAAAATTTTTGATAATGACAAATGAAAATATTTTTGAAACTGTCAAAGAAAAAAATGGGCTGTAAAAATTCTTTAGATTTTTACCTTTTTCTAAAACACCTATTTTTTTTTTTTTCCCAATAAAACCAAATGTTTTTATTTGTTTTTAGTACAGATAAAACTACAACTCTTAGACTAATATATTTATAGGAATATATATGCAACTATTTTTGGAAAATTAGATCCCAACTCCAACATCATAAAATGCCACCAGTAAATAATAAAAAAAAGATTCAAGTTGCAGGATCCTGTTAAGCATTATCCCATCTCACATCATCATTTCTTCAACATATATAAATTTTTCATCCACTCTACTAAGACAAATCCATTTCTTTTTTGTCTGTAGAAATGAAGAAAAACATGGATTTACAAAGATCTGAATATTCCTTTAACTCCATTTATCCACCGGGCCCCTCACCTGCTTCCTCAATGATTGGACCTCGTGGTGAAACAGAACTGAATACCCCAAATCGTGGTTTATATAGCAGCCTGCATCCATCTTCAGGATCCATCACCAACCGTTATAACATGACTCCAGTCACCCAGTCAGGACCCATGGCTTATACATCAATGTTAGCTGCACATACAGTCCCACAGTATATGATCTCACCCACAGGAGTACCGTTAACACTTCATCCAAATATTCCTAGATTTCCTTCTATTCTACCAAAGGTAAGTAAAATAGCAAATGTAATATTTTAAACCTTTTTTTCCTTCCTTTAATATGAATGAATTTGTTTTCTTTTTGAAGATGCTGTAAAAAAATAAAACTTTCTCCTGTCTTTCCTGCAGATTTGTAAAAGATTTTGAGAAAAATACAGCTTTTTTTTTGCTAAATAATGTTTGCTCATTCTAATTTATTCATTATCCTTTGTTTTAACAAAATAACTTATACTATACAATCCATTATATCTGTTGGTGTATGAAAAAAATTATGTATTCATTAGTCTGGGATTATTTTTTTTATACTAAATTTTTCACTTACAGGTTTGAGCATCAAATCAACATAACATCAAATATTCTTTCAAATACTAGACTTCTGAGTTATCACTGTGCATTTAGAAATTGAAGACAAACTTTCACTCTGAAAAATGTTTACAATATACAACCAATTATAAATTGTTTCCTCTTTCTCAATCAGAAAGTTGAAACAACTTGTAAAATCAGCCATACTGAAATTAAATAAATACCGACTGCAATTGCTTTCTATTAATTATGTAAGGGATGTTGTCAATATTATTTTAAAAGTACAGGTTAAGATTCTATTTGCCATATTTCTAATAGTAAATCATTATTACTAGGAACTCTTTGACATCTACTGAAAACATTGATTTCAAAATTAAACCTCTCCTAGGAAGTCTTCTTTCTAGAATCTATAATGCAAATAAAACAAAAATAGTTTCTGTCATTAAAATAAAAAATAAAATATTTAAAAATAAAATTTCTGTCTCTTAGAAAATTTTAAAATATAAATGTTAAAAATACCTTCAAACATGGTTATAAGAATTTTGACTAATTTATTTGTATAATAATTGGAAGCTATTTTAGCATAAAAAGCAATTTATTGAATTTTCATAAAATTCTTTAACTGAAATGTTTTTATTATTTAAAAATGTCCAGTCAAAGGAAAACTATGCAAAAACATTTGATAAAGTGCTTCACAATGAACTGTTAGAACTGCTATGTAAGCTTTTGATATATTTGGGAAGGACATTAGAATAATCCAGAACTTATACTGGGAACAAACTGCCTGAATATGGATAGAAAATGAATTCAGTAAATACACAAAAATAAAAAGGGGTGCAAGACAAAGATGGGTCTTCTCACCAGATTATTTCAACCTTTACAGTGAAACAATCCTGGGAGAATTAAAAGTCCTAACAGAACTCATTATTGGCAGTTATAATCTTAGCAACATAAGATATTCATATAACACAGTGTTAATAGCAGATACAGAAATTAAACTGCAAGAATTCCTACAGAAGGAAAGTGAGAAGAAAGGACTAAACATCAATTGTAAGATGGCAGAATGCATGTTTGTTAGCAAAAGGAACAGCCTAACATATAAATTACAAATTGGAGATACTAAAATTGAACAATTACAAAGATTTAAATGTCTAGGAAGTTTTAACAAATTATGGAAAATGTAACACTGAAATTTGAAGTCACCTTGGAATAAAAAAGGTGCCTGCCAAAAGCTAAGTATTAAGAAACAGGACAATTTCATTAGAAACTAAGAAAACTGTAATGAATTGTTATGTAATATCAGTCCTCCTATATGTCAGCAAAGGCTGGACAATCTCTCCTCAAAGATGAAGAGACTAGAACCAACAGATATGTGGTTCTACAGAAGGATACTGACAATACCATGTGAGTGACACCAAGCTTTTAGAGAAAATGGAAACAAAAAAGAAATACCCTTAACATCAGGGAGAGACAGTGGAAATTTCAATGGCACATAATCAAGAAAAAGAGCTTATAAAAATTGATACTTACAGGACAGATTGAATGCAAGAGGAACAGAAGAAATCAACACATAACCTACCTAGAGAGCTTGTATAAATGGTTGGTAAAATAGGGATTAGGAGAGATAGGAAAAATATGAGTTACTGAGAGCTACAAAGGATGGGAAATTGTGGAGAGCCATAATTGCTCACAACTCGAAGGGTCATGGCACATACAAAAAGAATCAAAGGAAAACAAACAATGGCACATTGCTGTAAACACATTCACATTGAGCAAATGAAAATTAGATACTATATTTATCAGCCTAAGTTGACCTCTAAAATGACAAGTTACTAATTCAGGTTTAGGGCTTCATTAGAAGATTAAGTTCACCTTACAAAATAAAGTAATGTCATTTTCATCATATTCAGAAATTTAAATGTACTGATCTGACATGTTACAGGATATTTTTTTAAAATCAATTTATATGTTATCTATATACAGTAATTACCTTGTAATTGTAAGTGAAGAATGAAAACCAAATTTCACTTTTGGGGATGAGTGTATTAGCTGATTATTTCTCATCTAAAAATTGCCATAAGTTAATTCCATGAAGACTAAAAATTGCAATGTTATTTTTTTATATTGACATAGGAAGACAATATTTTATATTATTTACATTATTCGGACTATTGTCCTCATCTTTGTCACCATATTTATTACAACATTTCGGCCATTGTACGCTCCGGCCTTTTTCAGGTGGTTGGAATGTCGAACTTAACCCTTTATATCGCTCACTGAGGTAGACTGTTCTAGTTCCACGTGCCATGTTTAATGGATGTCAGTTATCTCCTGTTAATTTCCCTCTAAAAGTTCTCCACTACCTTAACCAGGTATTGAACTCGCACACTTTGGGTCCTGTCACTGGATCTAACCAACGCCTTTATCCACTGTGCCATGTGTCCTTGAGGACATCTGTGGTATTATAAACCTAATGTCTTCAGCAACCATTTTTACCAGTGCAATTTTTTTTTCATGTTTTTTACCAGAGCTTTTATTGCAACTTTTTGTTGTTATTATCACTTTTCTCTGGCACTCCTTATTACTGGTTCCCATATTGTATTCATTTCTATGCTTGATCGGCTCAGGAGATTTTTGTGGTCTAGCATATGTGCTGATTCCTTAAGTTTACGAATTTATGAGTGTTCCTTGTCTATGATCTCAACCTGATCCCACAGAGGGCGGTGATCTCCCTTCTCTCTGCATATGTGGTCAGCCACGCCTGATTTTTCCACTTCCCCTTGTGTTACAGCTTTCTGGTGTTCTTGAAGCCTTACCTTAAGGGGGCAGCCTGTCTTCCCTTTATATTTCTTTCTGCAGCTGCACATGATAGCGTACACAGTCTTTAGTCATGTTCTCCTCTATAGAAGGGTCTTACTCAAGAGAGATATCTGCAAAGTGTCATCAAGCTTTTGAATGTTGTCCTAATGTTATATGGACCACAGATCCTTTGTATTTTCTCTGATAACCCCTTCACATAAGGCAGACTGTTTTCGGAAAGTTGTTATCATCCTCCTCCTGTACCCGCCTATCCCAGTTTTTTGGGGCTGCTGCCATGTACCCAGGGTAGTTGTTACATTGTAGGGTACTACTTATACTGACCAATTCTTTATCTAATGTCTTATGACTTTTGCTCGATGTTGTAAGCAGCGGACAATCCCTTTCTTTACACTGTATGAATGGTGGGAGTTGAAATTGAGGTACTGTCCAGTGAATGTCGGTTTACGTTATACAGATGTCTTGAACCCATGCTCTGTTCAAGATATTAGAGCATCCAAGAATGGAAGTATGTTGTTACTCTTTTTCTCCATTGTGAACTGTATCAAAGGTCTTAATGAGTTCACATTGTCCAGTAGAACCTGAACATCTTCCTGGTGTGGCCAGAGTATGAAGGTGTCATCTACGTACCTTAACCATATAGTTGGCTTTAGAGATATAGATTCTAATGCCATTTCCTCAAAGTATTCCATGTATATGTTCGCCCTTGCTGGTGATAATGGAAAGCCCATTGCTAAGCCCTCAACCTGTCGATATGTGTGTGATCCCATTCTGAAGTGTGTTGTTTGTGTATAGAAAGTCAACATCTCCATCAGATTATCTATTGAAATACTGGTCCATTCTTCTAGGGATGAGTCAGAGGCCAATCTGTCTCTGACTACTGAGAGTGCCTCCTCCATGGGTACCTTGGTGAACAAACTCACCATGTCCAAGCTCACCATCTGGTTGGATAGGATGGGAGCATCTTTGATTATTTCCACGAAGTGGGCAGAGTTTCGGACATATGAAGGAGACATTCCAATCAATGGGTCAATTATATCTACAAGGAAGCAACTCAGAGGGTGGCACACAGAGCCTTGGCAACTAACAATCGACCTGAGCGGAATACCGTCTTTGTGAATCTTAGGGAGACCGTATATGTGAGGTAGCTTGGTGTAACGCTGCGATAACTGCCTATATGTCTTAGGTGCGAAGTGATCCTTGTTCTTGATTAGTATCTGTGACAGTTTGTGTTCCGTTTTCATTGTAGGATCCTTTTTTACTTTGCTGTAGCTACCATTGCTAATGAGGTCTTCCAGCTCTCTTGTATAATCTGATTTGTCCATCACTACAGTCGCATTGCCTTTGTCAGTTAGATCCAGTGACAGGACCCAAAGAGTGTGAGTTTAATACCCAGTTAAGGCAGTGGAGAACTTTCAGAGGGAAATTAACAGGAGATAACTGATAACTGACATCCATTAAACATGGCACATGGAACTAGAACAGTCTACCCCAGTGAGCGAAATAAAGGGTTAAGTTCGGCATTCCAACCACCTGAAAAAGGCCGGAGTGTACAATGGCCAAAACGTAATAAATATGGTGACAAAGATGAGGATAATAGTCCGAATAATGTAAATAATGTACATAATACCCCCTCTTAGATATATAGACAGATAATATTTTTTATTTTCTTTCTTGTATTGTTTTGCTTTGCTTCTTAATATTTGCCCTAAAAATAACTCCATTCCACTAAATAAATCTACTTACAAAATATTTTCTTTTTTTTAATCTGTTAGGATTTTCAATATCTGCAATATTTGTCTGTTACATTTACACCCTTCTCTCTCATTGCAGAAAACAGTAAGTGTTGCCTCTGAAAACTTTTCTTGTCTTAGAAATAATCTAATGACAATGCAATATGCATATGTAAGTATCAATGCTCTGCCAAACTCCTGCTCCCCAATCTGATCAGATAGCAAGAAATTATTTTCATTAAAAATTCTTCTCTTTCTATAATTTATTCTAAAGATTTTTCATTTTTTTCTTATTACAAAAAATATAGTTTTCACTTACTTTAAAAATACTAAAGCTTACAATGAAATTTTCTTTGCTGTTCTAAAACCTGATTATCCTCTTTTTTTGCAACAGAAAGTGGCATTTTAAAATTCCCTTTTTTCCTCTTAGTTTCTAACTGTAAGATAAAAAAGATTATTTGCAAAATTATTCCAGCTATGCACTGAAATCAAAACAAAATATTCTTTATTCCTAGCTTCAGGCTTCTGTTTTTGAGTCATCCAGATTCATGATTATTTTTCAATCATTTTCTATATAGTTTAACCCTCAAACATGTGATTTCTACTCATGGTCTAAGGTATAAGAACCATCAAAAAAGGTTGAATAATAATGTTGCAAAACTCAATCTTCAGATGGATATCATAGTCTCAATAAAAATGTCTTCTAATACTTTCTTACTCTAGAGATTTGCCAATTTGTAATCTTCTGAACTAATTCTTGTTTTCTTTTGTTATTTTTATTTTATCAATAAACTATGTAAAACTTACTTTATATTTCATTATGAAAAACAAAATAAATTTAAACCATTATCCCAGAGCTTTAGGAAAACGGATTATTTTTTCCTCAACCACCTTATCCTTGTAAAAGAAAATTACAACATTTTTAAGATTCTAAAAAGAAACTGCAGGTTATTATTCATATCTGGTTATTTATATCTAATAAATGACTAAATATCAGGTATAAAGTTTTATTGTGATTTAAACAAGGAGAAAAAACAATTAGCAAAATAATTTTATCCCTCTAAAACTGTTTTCTAAATAGAAAAGTTGTCTATTTTTCTCCAATAACTGATCAGGTCATCATATGTGCCTCTGCTTTCTAGCAATAAGCTACATTTTATGCACTTTCTTTCAGAAATATTGCTACAAATTGTAAGAAAACTATTTAACATTTTAATATACCTGATATTTTTTTAAATTAATAAATCAAATTTTTATGTTTTTGTCTTATACAATTTTTAATCTAGCCAGTGATGAATCAGTTTTTCACAAACTGAATTATTAGTAGCATTCTCTACTTGATGGCTGAAGTTTGATGTTTATAAGGTGTTAATAAAATCAAATTACAATCATCAAGCAGAAAATACTAGTAATAGTAATTTAGTAATAATGAATCCATGTGTGTGTTGGTATATTTTCAGAACTTCCAACGACTGTTGCCAAACTGTGGTGAGGTACACATCATCCAAGTTTTCTAAACTCTGAATGAATTTTTTTAGAAAGAGAACACTTCCTGAAACAATAGAAATCACCAGCTGAAAATTTTATATATCATATTATTCCTCTGTATATATTTACTTTAGTTGAACCAAATCATCCAAGCATTAGGTTTTATCTTTGAATGCTTCTAATTTGCAAAATTTATATCCAGTCACTTTGAAAGAGAAATGTCAGCACGCATGCACATGCACAATGCTTATTGATGGGCATTTTTGATTGATTGCTCGATTTATAATGATTTGTTGTTTTGATCACTCTCTCTTCTGTGTTTATAATTGTCACAAGAAGAAAGAGTTCATCAAAACAAGAGGAAAGGCTTAAAAAAAAAATGAATTTATAGTTTGAATCTTTTATTATAATCAGATGATTTTTTACGAAATGTTTTGTTTTATTTATTCCTTTTTCTTTTTTAACCTTTTCAAAGAAAGGTTTCTTTGTTTTGAAGATTTTTTTTTTTACATTCAAACCAAAGTATTTCTTCTCGCTTTCCCTCTCTCATGTTCAATTTTTATAGTTCATTATTGGTAAATGGTTTCTTTTAAAATTTGTAGAATTGATGATTATCTTCCATGCAGAATTTCTTTTGGGTTTGTAAAGCCATTGACTTTGTTTTTATTTAAGGATGATGATAATATCTCATGCCATTTTGATAAAAGATTTGGAAATTCTATGATGAGAAACTTTCTGAATCTGCAGAACATCATATTCCAAGTGATTTCAAGTGAAAATTATTTTTTTGCAAAAAGATAAAAACATTTTTCTATTTAAGTCATAAAAGGTGAAAAAATTCCTACTCACTATAAAATAGTTTACTATTTATTTGTGATATAAGTTAAAATTTGCTTTTTCACCTTTTCATTACCTTTTTCATCTCATAAAAGAAAATATTTTTCAAATTCATCCATCATTTTTTAATGAGTACAAATATATCAAGAGTTAAAATACAGGCCTTTTGCATTATACTCTGGTTTACATTAATGGATATATACTTGGTCATCTTGTAAGTCTTGGCTAAAGTTAATTTTCAAAGTTTATTTTTATTCTTACCAAAATTGTCAGCGTTGTTATTTTTCTATAATTGAAGCCAAAAATAATGTTATTCATATAAAAATATTTTTTATTTTAAGTTATGATTCAATCTTTGAAAAATTCCTTCCTTTTTCACTTCTACCAAGAGATTCCAAGATGTTGCAGAGAAAGTCTTCACAAAACCAAAAGCATTGAACAATTCTTAGCAACTGTCCTTAAAAATAACATCCCTTAAGATAAAATTGTGTACATAAAATATAATGTAAACAATAAATATTTTAATAAGTTTAACATTTTAAATATATTGTTCTTGATTTACCTCTTCCAAATGGCAGTATTACAAACAAATATTGTTTTATCATTCTGATAATTTTAATTGTAGTTTTGATAATTTACAAATTTGATTGGCATCTTCAAATGCTGCTCCATAAACATGCCTTTGTGCCAGACTTTAATCAGAGAAAGTTAACACAAACGAAAAATGCTGAATGGAAATATTGAATATTGACAGTTGGCCAGTACATGTCAGTATTGTCAAAATGACATTGAATATTATGAAGAATTATTTCTTACTTAAATTTTTGAAATTAGATTACTCAACTGCACTTCAAGGCAGTGAATATTCTGAACTAAATCAAAGCAAATTTTATATTAAAAAAAATATTCACTAAATTATTGCGTTATTCTGTTAATGCATTTAAATTAGTAAATATGTACACTTTTACTGTTTGAAATGGTAACATCCTACAAACACTTACCTGGGCATCTGCCATTAAGTGATGTTTAACAAGCTTGTGAATTCTCTATTAAATGCCTGGAACCAGATGAGGATAAGTATGTTTGTCTTTACTATTAATCTTTTTCTTAAAAGTATGGATATTCTTCAGCTTGTTTTTTTTTTTCTTTTCTCCCAAGGGAACTCTCTGCAATATTAACAAATCATAATTCTTTCAGATTTTATATATCAGCTGAAGAGTTGATTAAAATGTATTTCATGAAATATCTATGCATGTTCTTAGTCACTGGCAAATTTGTTTTTCAATTTCTGAAATTAATATTTCTGTATTTACTTGAGAAAAAAGTGAACATTTTAAAGTCATTTTCTAAGCAATTTGAAATTACATTGTGATATTGATTGTCTGATGAATGTACATTTTGTAGAATTGGTTTGGATACACACATAAGCACATCTGCCTTTTCAATGACTTTAGATTTCACCGTTTTACTGTTGAACAAGCTAGATGCAATAAATCTGTTCTACTCTAATAATTTCTTTTCTTGTACAAATCACCTGTGGAATTCCTTTCCATTTTTTTCACTTCCCTGCCACCTACAATCTGCAAAAATTTAAATGCAACACCCATCACCATCTTCTGTCTTCCTGAAACTTGTTCTTTTATTGTCCTTTCTCCTCACTAACATCTTCTCGTTCTCTTTCACTCTCTGTAAGCCCATTGCATCCTAGTGGCATTATCACATTGCTTGAGATGAAATGATTTAAAAAAAGGCTACAGAAGACAGTCTTATTTGCATCTGCAATGATAAAATTTTCACTTAAAGGATCAATATGGTGTGAATCTATCAGAGAATTCCTTAACAAAAATGATAACCTTATTCAGAGCAAAAACTATTTTTCTAAGTTTTATGTTTTTTTGTTTTTTTTCTTACATTTAGAACTCAGTCACAAGATGACAGATGAATAGGTAATATTTTTAATAAGTTAAGAATTGCATACATATATGTTCGTGGTTAACAAGGTTTAATTACTGTTTTTAAACTACAAATTTCCCATGATTTCTCTTGAATGCTCATATCTGTTCAAAGTGTTTCTTAATGTAAACAAATGACATCATATATTACGAAATGGACTAAGTATTATTTAATATATTTTCAAAATTTTAATATATTTTCAAAATTAAAAAATGTATTAAATAAATAAAAATATATTAAGTTGACAGTCCATTTCATAATATATGATGTCATTTGTTTACATTAAGATACGCTTTGAGCAGATAAGAACATTTGAGGGAAATCATGGGAAATTTGTAGTTTGAAATAGATGTGTGTTAATCTATAAGTGGACATTGAGATCAACACCCAGTGGTGAAATTTCTGCTTCAGACCTGAAGATTTTGTTTAAACACAAAACTGATTGTCACTGCTGGGTGTTGACCCCAATATCTACTTTTATATTTATATACGCTGTATCCCTTATATTGAGCACTTTAATCTATAAATATAGCATACCATAAAACTATATTTTTATCAGATATATAGTGTGTGTGTGTATGCTTGAAATAATTTCTAAATACTAAAAATTACTTCAGGTCTATATGCTTCTTGACATAAGCTGTAATTATAACACAAGTAAATGAAGTTTTATGCTTTATCCTTGCTATACAAATTACAGAATTGTAGAAGCAGGTCATTTCTTGAAGGCCTAAATAGTAGTATTCTACATTTGTCTTTCATATGTGATCCAGTCCATACAATGTGAACTGTTGAGTTGTTAGCATCACAACCAAATTTTCCAAATTGTAAAGTTGATTGAATGCCTTATGCCATAAAATCTGGAATACATAAAATGGAAGAAGAGGATGTTAAATTTAGTCAGCAGTCTGACTAGGAGTGTGATGGCAATAACAATTAGTTATTACCTCAAATTTAATCAGAAGCCATTTTAACAATTAGTCTTGTACTTGTAAAATCCACAATAGCTACTTCTTACTATAATGCACCTCATAAAATACTACTTACATATAGAACAGATATATAATTTTGCTTATTTTATTTATATTATTTCAAATCAATATTTATTATTTTAGCTGATATAAGTGACTTTATAAGTAAATCTCCTCATTTTAATAAACAAACGTACCCAATTTCTGTTAGGCAGGTTTATTTGCTGATTATATAAAAACCTTTCTATGTTTTAATGTTTTTACGAAATCTCTTGCAATTTAAAATACCCAATTTTGTTTCATCACTCCACAGAAATAAATTTCAGTTACAAATTCTATTGAGTGCTGTTTATGAGTAAAATTGTATTGTGTTTCTTAATTTTTCTAGTCCTCCAAGCGTCTGAGTAATTACAGCATAGAAGAAGTATGTGAATTGCTCACCAAAATTCAAGGAGTTGATGCAGAGAGGCTAAAACATTATTCCAAAGTGATTGGAGAAAACAACATAAGTGGATTGGTGCTGCTCACTTGTGATCTTGATGAATTGAAAGTTGTTCTAGTAATGCGTTTTGGAGATTGGCAGCTATTCCGCTCTATGATCCAGGAATTACGTGAACAGGAACTGTCCCAACCTCCCAGCCCCACTTATCGGCAACGTAACAATGAAACACTAGCCAATACAAACCGCACAACTGCAAACCAGTATTCTCTTCCCAAGTCAAAAGCAAGTGACCCTACATTGACTCGCCATCGAGATTCTGATCCTATAAATGAAGCAGAAGAAGAAAGTTCTTTTAAAAATGATGACATTACAGACTCCCTCCTTTCACCACCACCTTCAGCAAATAACGCCATGAAGCGAAATGACAGCATTTTTGCACAGATGGATATGGAGTTTGGAATGTTGCGTGAAGCCATGGAAGAATTTACAGAGACTTCAATGGATGATAACCGAAACATGATTGATGTCTCATCTGACGTGTTCATCCATGACGACCAAAAATCTCTCTCCTCGTCATCTGCTGCAATGAAGATGTCAACATCCTTGCCGCAGTGTGCAGTGGAGATTGAGACTGAGGCCGATGACAACAAGACAGATTCCGTGCCTGCAACCAGCAGCTTCTACTTGGAAGATACAGATGACTCTCTGGACCTGACTGACTCGGCACCTCTTCTTCAACAGGCTTCAGGGGATGACACTTTCTCTACAGAGACATCCATCCCTACAAGCCATTCTCTTGGTCAGCTTAGCAACCGGACGTTTAGTACTCCCAGTTTGAAGTTGTCTCGCAGCAAGGAACCTGCTGTTGAGCCATCGACCAAACGTCCAGTAGTGATGAAGATCAGTCAATTTATTGACACTGCTGACCCCAACATAGTGCCCACCATGATCTCTATGCAGGATCTACATCCCCAACCTCCAGCCTTACAATCAAGCATTGTGCAGTTTGTTCAGGAGTCTCTGGCACAGTCTAAAAGTGACCGACACCAAAATACACAGGCCCAAGGAACCTCAAGAAAAAAATCTCGATCTGGGCCTACAGAAGGAGGACCAGGGGCACTGTCGAGTGATACACCTGAGATGTTATAGATATAGTGAAATTTGTTCTTACTACAAATGCAAGAAATCTAGCTTTTAATTTTTTTTTCCATTATTATCTTTTTAAGAAGACTTGGTGAATCCCCAAATCAACTTTAAACAGAATTCCATTCTAAAATGTACAAAAAGTGAGAAAGAATTTATTATTTTAAGATAAATTGAATGTTTATAATTATTTGATTAAGTTGTTTTTCTTCCAAATGAATAATTTTCTGTTTTTCATTTTATTTTTATAATCCAATTCTTTTCTGTTGATAATGCAGAGATTGTTAATTTATGACAAGATATTTCAATATTCAAGATTTTCTAATCTATGAATCTTATAAATATAAGTTACCACTATTTTCCTTATTTGTTTTTGTACAACTATCTTCAAGATTGTTTTTACTTTGTTTTTTTGCTTACCTATAGTTATTTTGATCAACTTTGCCTTTTCTACTCTCATTTGTTTTTTGCCAATTGATAGTTTAGGTGTTAGTGCTGTCAGAAAGGTAATATTAAGTTTATTTTTATTGTATGTTACAAATAATGATTTCATAATCTCTGAGTATTTTAAGCCTGATTTTATATTTTCTTTTACTGTGCTATCTTTTTCCAGTTATCAAACTTTTTGATATTTGTGTTCATTTATTTATATACAACTCTTTTGTAATTTGTCTTGCTTTCTAGTGTTTTAGTTTATCTAATGTTATATATATTTATATATGTATTAGAAAAAACATTAATTTTGTGGGGAACTTCTAAAACACATATACAATGTACATATGTTTGAAAGGTTTTCATAGTGGGGGTGTGTGGTAGTGGAGACAAGCTCTCACTGTCTATAAAATACTTCCATATCATGTGTCTCAGCTTGAGGCTGGAGAAGTAGAAGTAACGCTTCAATTAGATGAAGCTCATCAGCTCTGGAGGTCATATCCAAACATGGAAAAGGCTATGAAAGTAAATCCAAACAGAAAACTTGGAATGGAGCCCCAAATGCAGTTGGCTGTCAACACTGACAACTTTCCAGTAACTGCTACAACCAATCCAACACCAAATGTAATGCCCTGTATTCCTACAGATCTTGTTGGTACGGCCAAGAGAGAGAGAGAGAGAGCATATAGTCTGGGTATTACACATCCTTCATATACCATCAACCAGGTCTCCACTATAGTCTCATGACCAAAGAAAGATAAACAGATTTCTTCTACTACTGTTTGCCCAAGACTTAAACTGTAAACAACAAAGATCAAACCCTTTACACAGTGAGGGATAACATTCAAGCAGAATGCTCACATGTCTATCATTTGTAAGCAGAAAACAGTGATATGTAATAAAGGTAATCAGTGTGGTAGCAGAATTGGCTAAGAACCAAAAAAATAAACATCATGACTTAAGCAGTTGGTCTTGTTTTATTATTCAATGCAGACACAAGCACTACATATGGAAAATCTGTTGTAATATTCAAATTATCAAATATGGTAAAGTAAACATAACTATGTATATTTATCTAAGCAAATTCAATAATTTGAATAGCTTGTCTTGTCTACTTGCTACGATGAGTTTAAAATTTAAAACTATGAGTATTTTAATTAATTTCAAAACAAAAACTAACGTTTAATGACAGAATTGTAAAAAGTGTAGTTATTCAAGTTACCATGGAAAATAATAATTTAATTAAATTGTATTTAAATTTGTAAGAAAACCTTATTCTTAGCACAACTTTGAATGCTACATCAGAATCTAAAAAGTGTGTGTGTGCATTCTTTGAACTTAACTATTCATCCCCAGAACCCCATTCAGTTGGAAGGGAAGGGAATGGGAATAATTATCAGTCTCACAATATTGCATACATTTCTATGCAAATACCCCAAAAAATTTATACAAATTTTCATACACGAAAACTAAGATTGTTATAAATACAGTGAACAACATTTTTGTTTTGATTGTTTTCATTTTGTCTTCTTTTTTTTTTTATAAAGAAAATAAATATATTGAATAAAAATCTTTAAAATACAAGGAGTCAGCCTCAGTTATATAATTATTGATCACACACACACGCATGCATACACACACGCGCGCACACACACCAATGAGATATGCCACAACCAATGGATCTACCAGTTGATGTCACCACAACCATGGAAAACCATAAACTAAACAAAAACGTTTGCTACAAAAAAAAAAAAAAAAAATTTGTTACATTCAGACACATGAAAACAACAGCATTTAATGGCTAATCATCTATGGAGGAAAAAGTGTAGTCATCATTGATTGTGGAATGAAGTGAAAATACTGGACAAGGAATAACAGTGAAGAGTTAGATGTTTGAAATAATCAGCGCATATGCTAGGCTATGAGGACATCCTTAGTAGAACTAGCATAGAAATAAATACAATATGGGAGCTGCTAATAAGGAAAGACAATTGTAAGTCTTCAACAGTAGCAGCAGCTGTAACAAAAAGAGAAACACTTGAGTGCAGTGAAAGACTCATCAGCAGCAAAGTTAGGTTTAAAGCTCCAAGTTCTCCACAGTGAATTTTTCTATGGGGAAAATAGCCAAATGTATTAAAGCATTAGTTTGTGAATTTGGTGACATAATCCAATCCTGGACTGGGCTATGTGTGCTTGGACAACAAGTGAGAATTCAGCAATACTAAAAATAGGAACAAGATATCCCTAGACATGGACAGTCTACCCCCATAGATTAAATAAAGGCTTCAGTTTGGAATTCCCTATTGGTTACCTGGATCAACATACACCTGAAAAAGTATCTTAATATGAATATTATTTCAGAATGGATGATGAATTTACATCAGATGAAACTAAAGTAGAACATGTTTAAAAAAATGTAGATGGTGGTGAATGGTTGGTTTTCTTGGAAGAACAATTTTTAAAGTTTTTAAACTTCAACAAAATTTTTCTACATTACAATTTTACCTACTGAAGTTGTTGCAAAGATTTCTTCACTTTCATATTTTTCATTCTCAAAAATATGATAAATTAAAAAGGACTATTTTTGTCAACTTCTAAAACACAAAGCCTGAAATGGAGAAGATTTTGAAGACAACTACAATCACAGGATGCCCATGAGATTATTTACAAGAAATATCTGATCACATTGGCATCAGTGAAGAAGTAATACAGTGGAAAACTAAATGGATCGATTACATTAGTTCCAACAGATCTGCCACTTCAGAAATCATTGCATGACTAGGAGTTAGCAAAATAAAATTTGTTATTGACAATGGTGTTCATATTTTGATGTTTTTTTTAATGAATGCAATTGTTTTGGAATCAATCACATCTGCTAGCAGTAAGAAAAAAATTCTTTTTTGTAAAAAAAAAAAAATGAATGGATTTACATGATTATTGATGTCATTAATCTTTTATTTTCAACAAACAACTTTGGCTTAACTATATATTATAAAATGATAAATAAACTTTATATTGCAAATGAATGTGTCTTGTGATAAATTATTGCTTATGATGGATCATATTAAGAAAACCTTTTGAAGAACCTTATACAGAGCTCTACAAAGTTATATATTAATTATATATTGAAATGAATGATAGTATACATATCTATGGACAAGTTGAAACCTTGTTGAAACATTTGTAAATAAAAAATATTTCTAAGGATAAAAATAACCAAAATCCTTTAACTTTCAAGGACTCCTAGTTGATGTACAGATAAGAATGCTAATTAAAATAGCTAGTGTTTAGTGACCTTAATCTATTTCAGGATGATGGGTTATAGGTAGAAACCTGTAATTAATACCTTTTTTTTTTTTTTTTTTTTTAAAGAAATTATATTGATATTGGATTTTAATTAATACCAGATTTTATGGTTGGCATTAATAAGTTAATTAGTTTAAAATGTAAACTAATTTCAAAAGAAAATTATTTAAAGAATTCAGAATTGTAAATAAAGTAAAAGGGTTTAGTTGCCATAGAAAATTAAATTACTTTGTATAGAAACACTTTTGTTACACTTTGAAAAAAATATGCAACATTTAAAAAAAAAAATGCAACATTCAACACATTTTAAACTAATTAATTCATTAAAGATAACACTTCTCCCACTGCACTTACAGGGAAAGGGTCAGGGTCAATTTTTGATGTTTTAGTCATCCCAAAAGGGAAGTGTCAAGGGTAACACATTTTTGGTTTACTAATCCCAGATAAACATGGGAATCCCACTTAAAACATGGCCTTGTGCTATATTCCATTTAAGTGAGCCTTTTCATCTACAATCAGGCATGAAATGGCTGTGCTTGGCTATATGGAGCCATCAATCCTGGTAGTATCATTTATTTTGCACTTAAAGAGGTAGAGTCAAGCTTATGACTCAAAAGATAAAATGTCAATGAAAACTTAACAATTTTTTAATAATCCTATACACATGTCAGATTTCCACTTTAAACCTGGCTTTGTGTCATACTCTTTTTGAGTGACCATACTAATAAACTTTTTGTCCACAGATTTAACAAATATGCTAAAATGAATGCCAATTTTCCTTTCAAATTTAACATTTTCTACACACACAATATTACAACCAAATAGTAAAATTACATGTTAATTGTGAATTTTATTACAAGGTACTCTGAATTCTTTTGTTTCATAATATAAATGTGTGTGTGTGTGTGTATAATATTGAATATAACTATTGAAAAGGAGTCAGCCTCTACTACATCAATGTAGTCAAAAATGTAATTGTACCATGAATAAATTTCATAACTGATTAGTGAACTAAGAAACACCTTCACTAAATACAAAGTCACTTGAGATAAAAAAAGAAAAAAAGAAATTGAAACAGAAACTCTGTTAAAATTTGACAGATATTATATTCATTTAATTCCTGATTTACAAAATAAACCAGGTGTAATTGTTTACTCTTAATATCAGGTATTTTTATGATCACATATTAAATATTTAAATGAATTACTTTTAACAGATTTGCTCACTGAATCATTACTGTTATTTACAAGTTGGAAGCATCAACAAAG